TTAATTCTCATCCATAATTTCAACAACCCAGTCTGTCACATCAAAATTAGTCTCCTCATCATCAAGTTGTAACTCACACCCCTCTTGATACAGATCATGATGAACGTCTTAATATTTTGGAAAAAGGTTTTGAAATCATAATTAAGGCCTCCACACTAGCCACAGATATGTTAACTCAAACATCCTACACGATGAACTCCTTTATGCAATCAACCGAACTCATACTTAACTCTAACATTCAAGTCATAGCTAGATTATAAACCCACATTGATCAACTAGCTAGTGCCATAAGTGAAGGAGAGGAAGGAGAAATTCTGAGTCAACCCGTGGTCAATCCTAAGGACACTCAAATGAATGCACTACAGCTAGGAAAACAAGTCGATAATCAGAAAAGAACACCTTTAAGCCAAATTCTTGTTCCAATTCATTCTCCTTCTGATAACTCAATTCAAGAAAGACCAGAGGAAGAAGAAGAAGAGTCAGATCCAAGTTTTGAGGAAATTTTTGGTAAGGAGCTGAAAATATTAGGAGAAGCAGATCAGGTTTGTCAAAATAAGAAAACGGTGTTAAACAATTGCTGCTTTAAACTAAATTTTGAAGAACTCTTTCTTGATGAACTAAGATTTTTGGAAAATAAACAACAACCAAATTTTTACACATCAACCATGAATCATGGGGTTGAGAAAATTGTTAAAGAAAATTTGGTTGTTAGAAAATAAACATTCATAAATCAAGAATCTAAGTTCAAAACGCATGGCACCAATAATACCTACCTTCCATTGCCACAAGAATTATTGAACACCCTGATATGCTTGGAATTTTAGTACAATATTGATTATATCATTTTGAATTTGTTTAAAATACGGGGAAGAATTTTCAGCAATAAGGTAGGATTCAATGTAGAACATGAGCTCTTCATGTTGAATATTTTATTCTACATTGTTTATTTTGTTTATTTCAGCATAATAAAATCTTCTCTTATTTTAGAGTTTCTTGTTCAGTTGTAAAGAAAAAAGATAAAAAAAGAAAAAAAGAAAAAAAAAGAAAAAAATAAGAATAAATTTTTAATTCTATCCTTCTCAGACCAAAGGTAATTACAGATTTTTATCAACCGACTAAATGTAAGTGCTTTACTTCTTATCTGTTTTACTTTACTTTATGCATCATAGAGTTTGCATTGAGGACAATACAAAATTTAGGTGTGGGGGTGGGAATTAGTTATTTTTTTCTCTTTATTTTACATTTTTAGTTGCATTTTTATCATTTTTCCCCTTTTTCTAAAAAAAAATTATCGTCACTTGCCAAATTGATAGAGTTATGTAATAATTAATTTATTTGATAAATTTTAAATTTTCTAATCTCTAGTTTGTTATTTACTCAAGTTTACCTTTTATGATCTAAATAAATTTCTTAAGAAATAATTTTCAAAGTAGTATACTTTACTTAAGCCTTAACTTAGATTTTTATTTAAAATAATAGAATTTATGCATGCTTAGCTTAGAGTTAAATTTTTTTTTCAAAGTGTCTTGATTTACATATTTTTTAGAATATATATACATATACATATTAAAAATAATAATAACATTGCAAGAGAAGAGTATGAAAAATGGGCACCAAAAGAAAAAAAAAAGAAAAAAAACTCTTGAATTTAAGGTGATTCTATCTTATAAAACCTAAGCTGACCGAGTAATTAAGCCCAAGGAGTATTTTCATACTTAATGACCTAAGCCCAATTGAGTTGGGATATCCATTGACCCAAAATTCGTTAAATGGTCGCTTAGAAAGCCTGTTAAAGTAGAAAATAATCACCAAGGAAGAAAGAGTTAAAAATAAAAATAAAAATAAAAATAATACTAATAAATATTTTATATATATAGTTATATTTGTATATATGGTCTTGGAAAATATTTTAGATCAAGCAACTTAAATATTATTTTAAACAAAGAGTTAGCATGTTCTTTTCAAAACTTTTAAATTAAATTTCTAAGTTTGGCTTGGTTTTGTATTGCTACAATGAGAAGATTTTCTAGGAAATATACCTTAGAGTTATATATAAAAATATTTTCTTAAGTAATAACTAGCTTCAATTATCAAGTAAATTTAGTTATTTACTAACTTCTTTAATTTGGCAACTTGACCGAATTTTGTGGGTATATTCACTGCAAACCCTCACGAGACTACAACTCGTCCACTAGGGTAACCTAGGGGTTTAAAGGCTTGTTGTATGCACTAAATACAACCGCGATTCCTACGAAAGTGAGTTAGGTTTTCTTTTCTTTTTCTTTCTTTGCTAGAGGACTAGCAAAAGTTTAGGTGTGAGGGTATTTAATAATCATATTTTATTACAATTTTATACCCTCATTATCTATTTTTAATGAATAAATAAATCACTAATAATTATTTTTATCTTTAATTGCAGGTTAATAAAGAATAAAACCCAAAAATCTCATCTCTCAACAAAAGCTCATGAATTAAATGAAGAACACAAGCAAGAGTCAAAAATTCCAAACCCAGAATCAAGCCGAGTAGCTTGTAGAAGCCGGAGAAAATAAAAAAATCAAATATAAAAACAAAATATATTCAAGATGGTTGGTCGCAAAGAAACGACGATATCTCTCAATCCGGAAGGCGGAATTTAACATATAATATATGAAAATCGCCTATCTTGACGAGACAAAGCCATCTGTGGATGAAGATTTTTGATTGGACATTGATGCCAGCATCGATGCTGGCATCGATACCAGCATCGATGCCAGCATCGATGCTGGTATCGATGGCTACGAATCAGTTACAGATCAATGGCTAATTTTTAATGGTTTTGGATAAGGATTCAATCCAAGGGCTCTCATTCATTGATGTTTATTATAAATAGGGGTAGAGAGTAAATGATTAAGGGTGTGAAAATTTTTATAACTCCTTTTGAAGAGGAGGGCTACTCTTAATTGAGAAGGCCTTCCAAATTTGTAACTTTTTGTTATAATTAATAAAATAATACGACCACCCCCTTTCCGAGAAGAATACATCTTCCTAATTGCACGAAGGCCAGAAGTGTACAGTTTGTATTCTGGCATCGTAGAAGCTATGTGATACCAGTTGCAGAAAGCCACGGAAAGAAGAGAATTAGGCGTTTTGTGGGGTAACCTGAAGGTAGCCTTCTCTTTGTTGGATGATGAAGATGAAGATGGAGATTAATTTGAATGTTTGTTTTTCTTATTTCTCTTTTATTGCTTATTAGTTTAGATTTATTTTCATGCTTGTAATTTTATTTTCTTGTTTAAATAGCCAAGAGGCTAGAACCATCTTTCCTTAGATTTATTTCATGCTTATAGATTAGATTTATTTCATGCTTGTAGAGTATTTTCTTGTATTTAATTCTTGTAATTTATTTTGTAGTTTAGATTTTGTAATTTATTTTATAGTTAGATTTTAATTTCTTACACTATTCAACTTGAGGCTAGAACCCTCTTGGGTTTAGTTTTTCTTTTTGTTTATTTTTATTTTCTTTGATTCGCCTTTAGGCTAGAACCCTCTAGGGAATCATCATTTTCTAAGAAGTTGATTCAATTCTAGATTACACATATCTATAATTGAATCTGTCATCTTTACTTTCTTGAATTTTATTTTCATTCTTGATTTTTCTTTTTGATTCTTGATTTTATTCATCTCTCCTTGTGGAAATCATTCATTCATTGTCACATCCACTCTCACTTACATTTTGTGCCTATTTACACACTATCACCTTCTTAATCTCTTCACAATCACATTCACTCATCACTCCTATTTGTCACAAACACAACATAAGAACCGATTTTATATTTTCTCCTACAAAATACCTTCCTCGTGGGATCGATATCTTTATACTATAACTTGACACGGTTGTGCACTTGCAACATTTTTTGGTACATGTTTATGTCGCATCATTCAATTTTGGCTCTACAGCTATTAGTTGTGTTTCTCAGTTGCAGAAGATCGTAGCTTTATCAACGACAGAAGCTGAATATGTTGCTGTGACAGAGGCAAGCAAGGAGATGATATGGTTGCAGGGTTTCTTGGAGGAGTTGGGACAGAAAAGTGAGAAGAGTGTCTTACACTGTGATAGCTAGAGCGCAATTCATTTGGCGAAGAACCCAGCTTTTCATGCAATGACCAAACACATACAGGTCCATTACCACTTCATAAGATCAGCGTTGGATGAGGACATGTTGGAACTTGTGAAGATTCAAGGAAGCAAGAACCCAGCTGATGTGCTTACTAAGGTTGTCACTACGGAGAAACTGAAGTTGTGTTCAACTTTAGTTTGCCTCATTACTTAATGATATGGAGGCCGTCGCCGCAGAGAGAGGTGATAGAGATTGATAGTTAGTCTCCAAGTGGGAGATTGTTAGGATATGTGAAGCCTAACTATCGCCCTATACTTCAGATTGAAGAGGAAACAGAAGAAGTTGAAGGAACCGGGTCAACGGCGATGAAGTTCAAGCAAAACGACGAAGAACTCAGTTTGATAGGATCACGGTCGACTGCGCATGGCGCGGCGATCGACCACATACGTGCACAGCAAGGGTGCACAGGTCAGAAGTTCATCGCGGTCGACCGCGCATGGCGCGACGCTCGACCGCCAAAAGTCCAGAGACTTTCCTGGATTTCGAGCAGCTGCGCGGTCGACCGCGCGTGGCACGGCGGTCGACTGCGAGTCGGGTTTTGACCCAGCTTTTTCTTTGATCTGTTTTCTATTCCTGTTTGTAATATTTTCTCATGCGGTGGCCGTGGACTTAGTTTCTCACATTGAGAAACGAACCACGTAAATTTGTGTGTTTGTGATTGTTCTCTTTCTCTCTCATCTCTATTTCCAAATCGCATCAGGGGGGTTGTGCATCCCCAACAGTATTGTCTGGTGGAACTAAAGAGTTTTCTCTGATAAAATATAGATATGACACTACAGCAGCATGATGTAGCATATATAGCGTAGGCTATTGATGGCATGCCTCATGATAAACAAAACATTAAGGAAAATTACTGTATGAAGTTCCTTCATCAAAGGCTCAGAGTTGCAAGCTCAAGTTGACAAAGGAATTGGAAAAGCGTCAAACAGCGTCTCGCAGTTTCCCCTTATTCACCAACAAGATTAAAAAGAAAGATCCACAGAAATAACAAAACCAGACATTAAGAGTTTATCCCTCACTGCTACATTATTCCCTTGCTCGAAAAGAAACACCAAGTGCACAGAGCCTGCAGAGAGTCTCAGGCGTTGACGGGCGAGGGCTTTTGGATGACGAAGGACATGCGCTGGCAGTGATGCTTGTTGTCGAAGGAGAGGAGACGGATGTAAGCATTTGGGTAGGTTTTCTTGCACTCCTCGATCTCGTTCAGTACTTGGGAGGAGTCGGTGCAGCCAAACATGGGGAGCTTCCACAGAGTCCAGTACCTGCCGTCGTAGTAGCCTGGCATCTGACTGTTGGTTCTGTGCACTGCTCCAACCTTTGAAGTTACATAAATAAAGTAGAAATATTAGGAAAGTTGAATATACGAGAAATAGCGAAGTTCATAGATTAAAGCGAAGATGGACAATTTAGTATCAGAAAAATACTTAAAAGAGTTGCTACACATTCAGATGCATATGTGAGGATATTCTATATGTATATCATGCCATATTAGGCCTTCTTGAAAGATTTTTCTATTAGCACTTATACCCAAAGATGTATATAATTTAATTTTCATTTCCATACAGGGCCTTAAGGATATTCAAGAAGGCACAGATATACAACGCATAAAATTTGCTCATACGCGAATTCAACCGAAAGATTAGTCAGTGAATTCTTTATGTTTTTGAGATAATAGTTATTATGTAATGTTCAATCAGTAGTTTCTGTTGATGTCAGAAAATTAATTGTACGGGTAAGTGGATTTTTAGAAGAGTTTAGGGTCTTTTAATCCTCCTTGCTGGCTGACAAATCAGAAGGAAGCCGATTCCTACACAGATAACACCCATTAGAGGGCCAAAAATGATTTCTCCGGCGTGGATTCCTACACAGATAACACCCATTAGAGGGCCAAAAATGATTTCTCCGGCGTGCCCTCTGACGTTCAAATCAGTGACAAGTTAAGCAAATTTGCTAAATATAGAATCTAGTTTCAGGTCGTTGTTCACTGTTCTCGCGTACCTTGGTGTAGCGGAGATTGCCCCTATTTATAAAAAAAAAATCAGTAACGGCACGTTGATAATTTGACCGTGCCGGTTCAATCGGCCAATCATACTGTACTCTACACGTGTCGGCAATCGGTTAAATGAGTCACATTTGCATTTAATGCAACAGTGACACAGTGGTTGAAGTGTTGGCATCGTCCGCAGAGTCAATTATGACTTCGGCTCGAGAAGTCACAATGACTCTGGCCATGTATTAAATGAGATGTCTACTGAGCGACAAAATACGACACTGCTGAAGCTGATAGATCGGTTCGTCATTTGAGACACGTCTTAGTGAGAGTGTGAGTAGAAGATGTCTTTTGTATCGGACTTAGATTCTTCTAGATCGCAGCTTGAAGACACCTTTCATTTCTGATTTGGGCCGCTAGAGAGATCAGCAACGCTCACACCCGAGTCGGGCTCTCAGATTTATAGGACTCGGCCGGCGCCAGGTAATTATAACACATGGCCGACTCTCAAGAGCTTACTAGACTTAGTAATTCTTAGGGTATAACAGTTCCTAATTTCAAAAACTTGGCCAGCAAACAGGTTTGAGGAGATGATTATAGCTTAAGTACGTTCTGCATAATCGCGAATCAAGAGTATGACTTCCCCCTGCTGGAGGTTATAAGAACTGCTACGATACCATACATCACTTTTAGTGTTAAGTTTGGGTTAATTCTGATTTAAGTATTTCTCCTCAATTTTTTTTTTTACCCTGATTTTACTATTGATATTAGAACTTAAAACACTAAAAATTTGAAGACTTGAAAAATAGTCATAGTACCTCATCAAACTCCAAGCAAGGCACCCATCCTTTACCGACCATGTACTCAACCTGCTTTGCTATGGATTCTGGAGACAGAGGTGGCAGATAAGAGAGAGTCTCAAACTTCTTGTTGTTAATTGGATTCCAAGTCTGATACAAAATTTGCGTATAAAACCACAAAATCAAATTAAAGAATTTATAGGATTCAAGAAATTAAACCAAGGGCAGATCGAGTAATTGATTACATGGCTAACACATAAGACAGAATCGAACCAAATTGGAGGCCTTTTGCACCTAATAAGGATCAAGCATGTATAGTATCGAACACCATGATATGTAGTGGAAATAATACCTTCATGCAGTGAACCCTGGAGCCATTGGAAACAGTTCTTGCACGCCACCCAACGCTGCTCTTCGCCGGAAAAAGGTGTCGGCCTGCGTCGGCTCTCAGGCCGGTGCATCCGGCAACCTTAGTTGCAGAGAGAGATCCAGCTGATGACATATCTTTGATATTTTGAGTGAGAGAGAGAAGAGAGAGAGAGAGAGAGAGAGAGAGGAGTATGGAGCTATGAAGGTGGTTTTGAAAGGTGGTGTGCAAAATGACAAGGCCGGTTTAAGAGTGATGTAGCTGCTTATTTAATTAGTGAGAGAGAGAGAGAGGGAGAGAGAGAGAGAGACGGTGGGTACAAGAGAAGTGGAGATTGATTGTGCAAACCAAGTGAAGGGGGGTTTCGGTCTTCGGTTTCATCACCACCACCCTAGCTTTCTGGTTTTGCCTTCGCCTGTTTTGCTTTATGATATAATAATAATAATAACTGAGCCAGACCTATCAAACATTTATACTGTTCTTGTTTGTTTATGGTTTTTTTTTTTTTTTTACTTGTTCATGCCTCTCTTTTTTTTTTTCAAGGCACTAGGGGCATACTCTCTACCACACTCTTAACCATACCATCTCTCTTGCTACAGTATACGGGGCCCACATGAGATTTTAAAAACTAAAATCTCATGTGGGTCCTGTATACTATACTGTAGCAAGAGAGGTGGTGTGGTTGGGAGTGTGGTAGAGGGTGTGCCCCTATCATTGTTTCTTTTTTTTCCATAGCTACTAGTGCGGCTTGTCCGTGAAAGGGATGGCAGCTTCAGCAATTAACATTGGACCGAGTATTTTGTTCATGGGTGTTGCTACATGGACCCAAATAGGGGATTCAATGCATGAGACATGTGAGGTGTCATCGTCCGGTTACATGATACACTGTTCATAAACAATGCATCATGCAACCGGATGGTGACACCTCACATGTCTCATGCCTTGTGTCTCCTATTTGGGTCCCTGTAACAACACCCTTTGTTCATTTGAGGGGCCTTGTTACGAAAATATTTTATTGTAAATGCAAAAGAATATACTAAGAAAGAAGAGATTCGCTCGGTCGAGCAATTTAGATATCTATACTAGTACATAAGAAAAACCAGCAAGGAGCAATGCAAATGCGGCTGAATTGAAGATAAGTGCCCCTTCCCAACTATAATTGGAAGGATATAAGGGTAGTTTTACTAGGAATGAACTTTTCTTTTCTTTTCTTTTCCTTCTTTATTTCTACCGGGCAGAGTTTAGTTTTTTAGGGTGATAAGTTTACGGATAAGCCACCCCGATTGTATTTCTCTCAAGGTGAAAGATAAGCTAGAAAATCTATCTTTACAATATTATTATCCCAACAAAAGAAATATTCTTGAGATAGGTTTTGTCAGAAATATCACCTGCATTTGCAGACGCAGGCCGAACTCTAGGTGTTTTAGATAGAGGGGAGCCCGACTATCATCATGGTCATAGACCGCCTACGATCTCGTCGACACCGTCAGCTTATAACCGTCAAGATATCATATTTCCAGTGGAGAGATCTTAATTGGGGCAGCATCACCTTGGAATGGATCTCCACGAACATTTCTTATCTAGCAGTCGAGAGCAGGGACCGCCATTCGCACTATAGATTATTGCCGGAGAAGGTGATCGGAGCAATTAGTAAATGCGGATTCAAAGTTTCAAAAAAGCAACAATTGCTCCCTTATCACGGTAACCTATTTATATGCAGCTGGGCCTCCAACTGTCATAATCTCAACGGATGAGCTGGACCCTAGCCAACGGCCCAAATTAATTCCAGAATTCATAGCAGTCTTTCCCGAATCGAGACAAAGCGTGCTCGCCTTGGATAGCCCGCAATCCTACATGAAACACGAAGCGATGACAGTTGAAAAGAATTCGCTGACGTCAACCACGTCACATCCAAAGAACTTTTCAGATCCCTTCATTAATGCTCCTCATGACTCAGTAAGAACTGTTACATTTCACTTCGACCCGGCCTAGGCCGACTCCAAGTAAAATGGACCAACTGTTATAGTCATTTTAGTGTTGAAAAATAATCTCTAATCAAGGGCAAACAAGTGTCTCATATTATGCATAATCGAGTCAAACCTTCAAAATAACCCAAGCCCCAGCTCGGACGACTCGACACGTCGATATCTCGCGAGGACAATTCAAATGGTGTTACATGTCGACCCCTGGTTAGGTCGACTCCTTGATCGACCTACTCGTTCGGCCATTAGGCCCACATCTTGTGAAGGCGACTCAAATGGTGGTACTTCTCGACCACCGGACGAGTAGAAATGTGACGAAATACCTCAAGCATTGAGCCCCCTCCCACACACTGACAACCAATCACCTCACAATAAATGTCATTAAATACATTATAGGCGCCATCATTACTCTACCCCTAATAGTCTTTATAACACATCGGACTATGTCAGCACCGCACACCCTCAATCACTTCATATTGACTACCAAAGTGACCTTTCATCCACTTGTCGACTGAAACATATAAAGCAGATGATGACTTGGCCGCTAGACCCTACTCGGTCGAAATTACCATCTTACCCCTCTACCACCATTATAAATAGGAGTATTATTTTCAATAATAAGGTATGATCTTTTTCTCTACCCAGTGTACTTAGGAACTTCTACAGTTCAGTTACTTCTCCACTCAAACATATTACTAAAACTTGATCATCTGAGGAAGAGCTGGGGAACCCAACTCCGCCCTCTTACGATTTTCTACCTGTGCAGGGAAGAACAACACACCTCAGAACTGGACATTTAGAGGGTTAGGGGACCTTTATCAAGTTAATATTTTCTCTTAGTGACTGTTTGATATCAGCCGTCAACAAGTATAAATTTAATATCTATGGTAAACACAGAGGCAAAGCCAAAAAATTTACCTTAGGGCCCAAGAATCCAAGATGCAAAAGTTGTTTCTTATTTATTTGAGAAAAGAATTTTTCAATACTAGTCCATTAAATTTTTAATAAGTTGAAATTGGTTCTCAATTCTTGAACTTGCCATCACATCATTGTCACTGCTACACCGAATTCTCATGATAATTTGAAACAACTCATAAGAATTAGGGAACTTGATAGTAATTTCAATGATTTATGGGGATTAAGTTTAAAATAACTCAATGAATTTGGAGGGAGCTAATAGCAATTTCAATGATCCAAAGAATAATTTCAAATTATTAAAGATTTAGAGCCTCAAGGGACTAATATGAACAGGAGTACATATGCAAATACCAAAAATGTTACCCCCCTCGCCGCCGAATTGTATGTGGCTCCGCCATTAGATAAATAGTTTATAAGAATAAGGGTATCATTATGATCTACTTATTCTTTACATGCATACTTGACTATTTCCTTATCATCAGTTATTCTCAATGCTTTATTGTATGATGTTTTCTACGGCTGAATGATGAGCAAGAGAACAAATAATTTGGCAAATCACCATAATTCCCCTCTCATTCAACTTTGACCATGAATTGGAATCAACATTAGAGGAAGACACTTGACCTGATGCGACTCTAATCAGGTTGATATGAAAATTCTAACAATTCAATAACAAGATTGCATACGCACGACACGAGGGTTTCACTTTTTATTTTTGTCAGAACTTTTTTCCTCCTATTTAGAGAAGATTTTAACAAATTTTCCCTTTACACAGAAGATATTAAAAAGATTTTCAAGAAGTCAAAACATACATCAATCGCGATAAAATGCATAATGGATCTATCTTTAACTTACACTTATATATATACATTAACATTAAAACAAGGATGAATAGATTAATTACGGTAGGACCTAGGAACCTAATACACTAACATTAAAACAGGGATGAATGAATAGATTAATAACGAGAGGACCTAGGAATCAAAGTAATGAAAACAACTCGACTTTGTACGGTCATTAACCTAACCAAACAGAATTCAGATCCTCTACAACCTCAATTACGGAGAATACTTACAATTAGTTATGTGGACTAATACTAGAGTTTATTTCAGTAAACCCAACGATTAAAAGTTTTTAATATAATTTAGATAAAGAATATAATTCATGGAGCCGACTGAGTGAAAAGATATTATTGGTGGATTTTAGAGTTCCTCTATAGAGGATCCTGGGCAACCAAATATGAAATTATCTTCTGCCAGGACAAGAATGAAAAAGACAAGGAAGACCTCCAGGCAAAATTCCTGCAGGACTTCATAATAAGTTAACAATCAAGCACGAGGTTACCCTCAAAATCTTATGGAACTAAATACCACGTTGCAGTATGAGAACTACAGACTTTCATCCTTCATCCTCTCCAAGCAAGATGACACCAACTCCAACATCTTGCTTATCTCCCCCAACTGAGGATGAACCTTATCATCAACCAAAAACCTGTGTCCAACCCCATCAACCTCAATCAAGCTCCAACCAGGAGTAATCTTCACTCCCCTCTCCCTCATCGCCCTCCTCACCTCCATAACCCCCTCCCACCTCCCCACCATCGCATAAACATTCGCCAACGAAACATATCTTCCACAACGCCCTGGCTCAAGCTCAATCACTCGCCTCCCAGCTCTCTCACCAAGCTCAACGTGCCCATGCATCATGCACCCATTAAGCAAAGAGCCCCAGATGGCCGCATCAGGCTCCATCGGCATTTTTTGTATCAACATATCTGCTTCAGCTGTACACCCTGCACGGCTTAGGAGATCGACAATGCACCCATAGTGCTCAATTGAAGGATTTATACTATAGGATTTGCTCATACTGTCAAAATACAAACGTCCTTCGTCAACTAAACCTCCATGGTTGCAGGCAGTTAGGACACCAATAAATGTTATAGCATTTGGCATAATCTTATTCTCCAACATTTCACAGAAAATTTTAAGTGCAGATTGGCAATGTCCATTTAAAGCTTCACCCATGATCATCGCGCTCCAAGCCGTCACGTCTTTCCTAGGCATTTTATCAAACACTTCTCTCGAACATTCTATCAGGCCACACTTTGCATAGAAATCAACCAATGCAGTACCGAGCTCGGGTCCATACTCAAACCCTTTCTCATCAATATAAGCATGAATCCATTTGCCTTCATCCGAAGCGCCCAATGCACCAGAAGCAGTCAAAACACTCACAAGAAGAGCCCTATTCAACTTCACACGTACTCGATCCCTCAACTCACGAAACAATTCAATTGCCTCTAAATGCCTTTCGTTCTGAACGTACCCTGAAATCATCGCGCTCCAAGAAACATCATTCCTCTCAGGTGCTCTATCAAAGATCTCCCGTGCCTTTTCCACTAGTCCGCAACTCGAATATCCACTTATTAAGCTAGTCCAACACACAACATTTCTGTTAGGACTTTTATCGAACACGTTATAAGCAAGCTCAACCTCACTCAATCTACAATACCCACTGATCAATGAACTTGTCACAAACACATCACCGTCAAAACTGAACTTAATGGCCTGCCCATGAACCTGTGACATTGATGCTCGATCACTACAGGCCTTGATCAAACAGGGGAACGTGTGCATATCAGGAGAAACACCTCGACATCTCATTCGACTGTAAACGAAGAGACTCTTTTCGGGTCTTGGGCTTTTCGAGAAGCCGATCATCATGGCGTTCCAATTGAAGATCGTAGGTGTTGGGATTTGATCGAACAGCCGGACTGCATAATGCATAACGTTGCGGGCAACATAGAAAGAGAGGATGCGGCTGGTGATGTAGGTGAAATTGGCGAGGCCGAGGGTGATAATGTGGGCGTGAATCTTGTTCGAATCTTTCAAATTGTTGCATTTCTCAATGAGGGAGAGGTACGGGTAAGAGATTTGGTTTGGTTTCGGAGAGAAATTTTGTATGGTGGATACGGAGAAGGCCCTTCTCATTCCTCGGATATAGCTGCAAAGCTAATGCATTTGCATTCGGTGATAATAGAATTGAGCTTTCTTCGTTTCAAAGAAGGAAGATGCATTTAAGTATTATAATTTTGCTTTGTGGATGGCTTGCCAGTGATCTTACTCCCTCTGATGCTGATATGAATCCCTCGTCCAATAAAGCAAATTACCTTCAACCGGGCATCAAAGCTCACAAAGGAGTGTATCGAACAAAAATTACGTTGCTGACATGTATGGCACCTGATTTCAGGTAATAGTAGCTGTTACTAGCGACCAAATACTTTGGACTGAGGACTTAATTGGCCGGCATCTAGGCTAATATAATACATCTCTATTGTTCTCTATATAACTTTAGAATCTCAATTATCAACTAAACAAAGTGTTTTGAGGGTTCTTGTTACAACCGTCACACTTTGGAATCCCAAATTACCAACTAAAGAGTTTCAGTGTTTCAAAATAATCTGTAGGGGAACTAAAATCGACAGAGCACGCTCAACTTAGAACCATAAGTTTGCTTTTTTTTTAATCCTAAAATTTCAGTTTTAATTTCATCTCATATTGCGTAGGATGGGGAGGGTTATTTGCAATTTAATAATATCCCAATCCTTTTGAAATTTTGGTATCCCGAAGTTGGTAACCCATAGTATAAAAAAATTAACATTAAATTTTGATCAAGAATATACTAACACAAAAAAGTGAGTAAGAGTTTCTTGCCCAAGAGTTCAGCGAAAGGGAGGAAAAAGCTAAGGGACGCTTCAATTTCATGTAAGAACCATATAAATACAATACAATCTTTCAACTCTCTCGCCCATTAACAAAACACTAAAACATAAAATTCAACCCATGCATGAGTCAAACTGGATTCAGACCCATAATTCAAGATCAGAGCAATTTCATATGCTCAACTACACATATCCGTACTTGATCAAGTGCTGACCACGCATAGCACGTACCACCATTTGATTGCTGAACAGCAGGGAGAGCATGCAGGATTCTTCGCACTATTGACTGATAAATACATAGCACTGATAAATTCTCTGATGATAATGTTAATCACAAGGGACGCTTCCCTGAGATTCTATGGACTGGTGACTTATAAGTCAGCACCTAAGATACATAGCTTTATATAACACTACTAATCAAAAGTTACACTGAAATCTCAACCATCAAGTAATCAAAGGCTCATCGTTTCCTGATGACTCTATGTTTAAACTGACCTGACCCAAGATAGTCAAAGCAATGCAAACAGAATAACTAACACACAACACAAGCTTATTGTATTTCTGCATGGTATGTAATTGAGTATCACACACCACTTGTCAATAATCTTTACACATCATAACTATGTCACAATGCTGTACAGACAAATGGTATCAAAACAGGTAAATTCTGATGTCACATTAGATCCAAATTTATTCTTCCATACAACGCTGCTAAAATCTAACTAGAGAACAAATTATGATGTCGCACTAGGCAACCAGCTTAAACCTTTACAGTTGTAAAGCCTAGAGCTTACAGCAACATCTGCAGCTTAATTGCACAAAGATATTACCACCAACAGCAACAACAACAATACAGAGACAAAACCTTGAGACACCTATACTAGCACCCAATGAAGAAAGCTCCCGAAAAGCAAATCCAAATGCAGCCTTCGCGACAAGAAACCCAGTAAAAGTTTACTGGATGCTTAATAGAATATGCAACTACTTGCTACAATTAGTTGGCAGCGGAGAAGGTTATGAGCATTAGAACCGTAATAAACAAAACATGAGCCCAACAAAACCTATGTTTAGAATTTTCAGGCAAGCAAACAAGAACCTAGAGTTTTGGAATCCCAATTTTCTTTCATTCTTCTATTTTTCTATCTTCTTTTTCTCCTTTTCAATTTCTAGAGTTAACAACTAAAAGAAAGGAGAAAACACAAGAATATAATGCAGAAAGCAGCAACCATGCTTTGAGATCTATCCAATCTAAATCAATCATTGGTTTTAATCTTCCTTCTACAGATTTGAAAGGAGGGGGAGGGGGGGGGGGGGGACTGAAGCAAGTTGGCATTTCAGAGCAACTGAAAAAAAAAATCATATTTAAGCATGTTTCCATTATGATGGGGTAAAAGAACTTATTCAAGCCGGTTAATCTTCTAACAAAAGTGAAAGAAAATTTGGCTGAGTCAACTCCAACATGATGCAAGCTGTTGGAATTCAGATAATTGAACATCGGAGATTTCTTTACCTGATGGTTCACACAGGGTTTGCATTCTGGAAAATAAAGACTGACACACCAAAAAGAATGCAGTTAGCATTAGAAAATTGATTATGAAGAAAGATGCAATCAACTTTTTGGGGCTCACCAAATGATTTGAAGATACAAGGCATGGCAAACTGAAAGTTCTCAAAATATTTGCAGCATTTCTATTGACCTGGAAGGCCAACAGAGAAAGGGGAAAACACAAAGTAAAACAGAACATCTAAACAAGTCTCATTTTAGTGGCATATATATCTAAGAGAAGCCATATTCAGTTACATGATCAATAGAAGCATGATCCGTTCGTGCTAAGGGCCTCCCACATTTCCAGCGCTAATCTCATGATGCCATAAAACTCCATGCTCCTGAAATGAGAGATGTCAGTCAATATCATGAAAGGAACTGTGTGAATGCAATGCATGTAGGTTTCTTGCTTCAGGAAAAAGCAAATAGAGAAACAACATTCTTGTTTGGAAAATGGTAAGAGATAATGAGTAGGATTGAATTTAAAATTTAATTAAAGCAGATGATGATGATGCTTTAATAAGAAATAAGACATAAAACTTTTAAGATGAAGCTGAATTCTAAGAATTCTAAGACAAGACATTTCCTTTGGACTTCAATAATTTAGCAACCAGTGTTAAGGATGAGTTCTGCCTTCGTGTTTAGCAAATGAATCTGAAAATAACAAAGACCAACAAAGAACTTCTTGACTTATATAGCTCAAACTTCAATTCCTCTAGGTAAGATCTGGAAAAGTTTAATGAAATAGTAGTCGAGAACAATCTATAGATCCAAAGTTGATACCAGCATAACTTAAAAACTTATAAAGATGATATAAACAGTAATGCAAAACCTAAAACAAGTTTTAACTTGTTTCCTCTTGTTCATTTCTGGGACACATTATTACTAGCAAAGTAAAGAAGGTTGTCAGACATAATTGTGCAATTGCCTTGACAACTTGAGATACAATATACATGTTGGTACAGCCAAATGGTGATATAGAAAAGCAAATTTGAAATAAATAAATCGAGTCAAATGATTGGCAGGGCTTGCTAGCATTTGTATCAAAGCATGACCAACAGCAATAAATCAACACAAGCCAACTATAAGGAAAAACCTCAAAAGACTTGTCGTATAATGTGTTCCGGGTTAAGAGAACAGGGGAGCATAAATGACTAGCTCAGAAGAAATTTGCAAGTAGCAGCTCCTAACGAATTTTCACATTATTACAATAGAGAAGGTTATTGCAGTTCTTCTTTTAGAATTTGTTAACTTTTAAAGTTTGTAAGTATCATTGGCAACAAGACTATTCAACAGTGGCGGAACCAGAAAATTTAAAAAGTGGGCCCAAAAAAATTAAACACAATAACGTAATTTTTAGACAATTTAACACCTGAACATCATTATAAAATGAGACTTCTAAACTCATAATTCAAATTAGACTATCGCATTTACAATAACATTTGTTTTTTGCTTTCATTTCTTGAAACCTTTTCATGACATCTTTCTCATTAATGTTACAAAATCTATCGCATCTACAAACAATTATTCTTATACACATCTCATATTTGATTCTGAGGAATTGAGGGTGAGCGCAAAGAGAGGAACCGAGGATCGAGGGTGGAGAGATAAAGTGAGTTGCTAGGTTTATCTCATGGTCACAGTTTCCAACTTGAGTATTTCAATATCAGTCATTCAAATCTATAATTTTTTGATATTAGTTTCCCAAAGTCATTGAAAATTGAAATTAGTCCCACAACTCTATAACTGTTTTAAAATTAATCTCCAGAGTTAGCATTTGTTTGATTTGGGATAGAATAAGCCTTTGATTTTAACTATTGAGAAACTAATTTCAAATCACTTCCAAGATTTGGGGGACTAATTTCAAAATATGAAGATTTGGGGGACCACTTTAAAAACACTTAAAAGACAGAAGACTAATTTCAAAATATATAAAAAGGCTTGGGTGACTAATTTTTAAACTTGAAAGATTTGGGGGACTAACATCACAAAGAGGAACATAGAGGCTTAAGTTTGAGAAAGTTGAGGTATGCATCTTTTGTATTCTACTACCTATAAAATTACTATTCACAAATTAGCTCTATATTATTATTACTATTTCAACGTGGGGCCAAGGCCCCCTTGACCCCCAGTGTGGCTCCGCTAGTGCTGTTAAAAAGGGCGGGTCTTCTAATTGAACCTCTTTATTTCTGGAATTGTTTTCAATGAGATGAGCAATTTTCTCCTTCAATCGTATTGTATAGGGCCTTACGCATTTGATGATTCAAATTCAATTGACATAAGACTTTTTCCTTGAATTAATCGTAGAAGAAACTTGCCTGTGATAGTCTGATCGACAAGCATGAACTTCTCCTTTGAATTTCACATTACGTATGAGGACTTTCCATAATGATCCTATCAAGATGGCAGATTATATTATACCCTTGATTTCACATTTAACTCTTGCTCACTATTTTCAAATTTTCGGACACCATATATGTAATCTACTACAAGTAGGCAACCATTTATCCTAATAAGTAAAGTTCTTTATTGTTTTAAATCAATCATGCTAAGCCTTGTCATGATACTTCTACGATCAAACATGTAATAATTTCATACCGCAAGATAATTAGGCCATATTTGGATTGGGTACTATTTTAAGGTAACACCCCTTTATCCTTTAAATTAAAATAGTGAAGTGCTTGGTTCAAATTTTTGGAGGGGATTAGGCCGGACTATTTAGTCCATTAAAATAGAATAAACCGGAGATTTCGCATTAAATAAAGGAGCTGAGGGGGTGTTATTATAGTCCATGGACTATTTTCCACTTGGGATTAGATATGCAATAACCCCATTAACCCTTAATTTTCTTTAAAATTACATGGAGTTCCTGTGCCTAATTATTTTCCTCTAGCATCATCAACTGAATACACAAGGAAAAAAATAAAGATCAAGGCTTTGTGGAAAAATAATCGGAACATACAACACGTATCTCTTCATCATTATGTAATTCATGGTTTGATTTTAATTAGTTCTTTGGTAAGTATTACTCCAATCATCTGTGGCTGACATTGCATTTACCCATGGATCTATCACTAGCCTTTGTTAACGTGGAAGAGCTGTTTAAACATTGAACATGACGTAGGAAGAACTTAAGTTTTTTTCATCATCCCTATGGCGGTGCAAAAGTCTAAAATTATGGCCATGTATATTTTGGTTGTGATAACATTGTAATATGAATTTGTTTATGAATAATATTGACTTAGTTAGCTTGTGATGTTGGGTTGATATTTGTTTATGTTGGTGTTTTATTACTTGAAATTAGAGAAATTCCATATTCTAGGTAATTATAACTTAAGCGAATATCGTGATTGATAGATGGAAAGGTCATTGTAGACATTTGTTGTTATGCTTTAATCTTATACCACTTTATAATGACAAGCTCCCAAACATAACATAAGTATTAGAGGTATTAATAACAAATTGAACCAAACAAATTATTAAAAATTTTAATTCACAATAGTCTCTCATGTTATTCTATCTTGGGACTATAATGAGAAAAAATTATCCCAAGATAAAACAAGTCTCAATCCAAACATAGCTTTAGTACTCTCAGTTAACAGGAACATCTTCAGCTATAGTTAATGGGGAAAAAACTTCTTAGAATAACATGCAACTTACATTCATCTTATGGAAACCTTCACATCTTATAATCCACAAATCTCTTAGAACCTGTCAATTATGAACATATCCACAATTGTTATTTTGACTCACAAGTCGTAGCTAAATTCATCAAGGCTTCACATGTGTTGAACAAGTAGAAAAAATCCATGATACATACTTCTCAAGCTAGTATTATTATTACCAGGAAGTAATAGTAGGAAATATAACTCTAACTTGGCATTTTTTAATTATTTTATGCCTAATTGTATGTGATTTTCAAAGAAAGTTATATCTTCTATATTCTTGGTCTAGAAAAGAGATTATGGAGCGTCGGGTTGGAAGTACATGACTTTAAAAGTTAGCACTAATGTAAAATATAGCAGTGAAGCTCACTGAAGATGACAAATAACCCAATAGACAAACAACTGTAATATTCGAATAAGTGAGTTGTAGTTGGTTTGACCTATGGTTTAAGGATTATGAAGTAGCATCAAACTTAAAAGGCTAGTAATAAGTTATTCGTCAAGAGATCAGTTTTGTCTCTTCAATAACTGTGATGCTTCCACTCATTTAGACTTAGTCCCACATTGGAAATTTTAGAGTTTAAATGGTTTTGGCTAGTCAATTTTGGCAGTGGTTTGAGCCAAACAATGTGTTACACTCAATGAGTCTCAGGGCTGCATAGCCAATAAGCTTGCGAGCTCGGTGTATAGAGCATGTGATCTTGTAACAATCCAATTCTCATGCTGTGACGAGGATGTCGCATATTTAAGGTGGGGTGATTGTGATGTACCAACTTATTTACTCTCATGGTTTAAATGATAGGTTTCGGGAGTCAAGTGTAACCCTGGCTAGTCAATTTTGACAGTGACTTAAGCCTAACAATGTGTTACAACCAGTGAGTCTTAGGGCTACATCGCCCCCAACGGGCTCATTGGCTCGCAGCGTGACACTAACTGTAATAAGCACCCACAATATCTAGAAACTAGGCCTGCCTTCAAGATCAGCAACAACACCAAGTTACAACTTACAACTTACAAGTAACAAAATCAATAAGATATGATTATCATATACGATAGCTATAAGAATGTAATGAGCTATACAAAAATCCTACTTCATATTTATCGACTATGCTTTGGTGCTCAACATCCTAGAGCAATTAGATTTCCAAGCAAGTTTAGTCGCACCTCTTTCTAATAGATGAAAAAATAAAATCATTATTCACTATAAAAATTCTCAGCATAAACGATAAGAAAGATCAATTTAACTCACAAAACTAAGCAAACAAACATCATAATCCCAAAAAAAACAAAGCAGAAAAAAATAAAGCCCTAACCTGTTCATCAATTTCATCAGCAATCCAAACAGACTAGCGATTCCTCTCCGGTGGCAACGGCCGATTGAACCCACCCCTCCGATTCATGTACTGCCTCGGCTGCCTCTTGGTCACAACCCTAACCCCGCTCACGTTAGCATCAGGCACCGGCTTCCCCTTCGTCGAATCAAACCCTAGCGGGATCCCAAGCATCTTCATCATCTCCATCTCATTCGCATCGACATCAGTGGGCTCCGCCCCATCCCCAACAGTTTCCCCGTCGTCCTTCGCCTTCGCGCCGTCGGTGGGCACTCCCTGCTTCTTCTTGGACTCCTTCGCCTCCTCGCTCTCCTCTCGCCGGCGCTTGCGTCTTGCGCGGGTGGGTTGGGGTCGGGGGGGGTGGAGGAGGACTGGTGAGGGGGGGGGGGTGGATGATAGGGCGCAAAACAGCTTACTCCGAGAAATGGATTAAAGTTTGTGATTAACTTCAATTTACTGAAGCTTTCTCGTGCCATGAGGCGGGGGTAGAGGGAGGCGTGGTGTGTTACTATTCAGGCATTCATTTTGGCTTGGCCATTCTAAGCTCCAAGACATTTGGGTAATGACTGGACGCCGTGAACCATGCATAAATGTTGAGTTATCGCTCGAGAAATATATTCAACTACCGTAAATTGAGTAAAGGAAGTTGGTGGGACCCGAGGCGTCAAGCTAACAAGTTGCAGGACTGAAGGAGTGTTGTTGGCAGTAAGATCCACAAGAACAGAAGGGAATGCCAGTAATCAGAGAAATCGATATGAATTGAGCTAGCATCTAGCCGCAGATGCCTATAAGTTAAAAACGAAGCAAAATAATCATCGTTGTTAAGCAATGTTTGACGCTCAAGCCAAGCAACGACGAACTTAACCTGTAGAAATGTGCGTGTTTTTGTGTCTGCAGAAAGGGTCCGAGATAATAAGTCACTACAACAGAGAGGCGAACAGAATGTAACCAAAAGCCATTTAAAAAAATATTCCATTAACAAATCAAACAATTTTGGTTTCGAAACAAGACAACGTGAATCTCCAGAAACAAACACAGCAGAAAAGTAAGTTCCAAGGCATTCCTGTAAAGAGTCATTGCGGTGGCTGGGTTGTGGTGGCCAGGCAGGGCATAATCTAGGGGATGGTTTGTACGAGTTGTTGGATAACAGATGAAACTAGCAGTAGCCGTGGCTCTTGAAAGCGGGTTGAAGAAGCACCGTAGATTAGACATTCAGGAAGCATGGGCTGTTTTTCTTTTAGTGAAAGTAGGCTTTGAAATAGGGATGTAATTTTTGAAACTGCTTAAAGCGCACGACGTAGGCGGGCACTACTTAGAACCAGCAGAATGAGGATGAGCATCTCCGGAAGAAATCAATGTTTGGCTTAAGTTTGTTTATTGATGAGAGTATTGTACTGAGCAGTAAGCCAATGTTATTCTTATGAACTCTTTCTGATTGGGGAGATGAAAATATGAAAATTTTAATATATTACATTTCTTACTTCAAGTATATGCTTGGAGGTATGAAACAAGGAAGGTAGAATAAACACAGGGCGGTTGTATGGATAAGGTAAAGCATTCATATAGTTTTTAAAGTCGAAACTTGACAATACAAGAAGCTTCTGTTGCTCCCTGTTCATATTGCATTCATTTCTTGTACAGACATAGATGGAATACAGGTGACGCGACAGGTTGATGGGAGTCACTATATGTATAGCATGCATCTTAAGTTTTCATTATTTACATTCTACGCATAGAACCATCTTATACGTTAATCAATCAAGAAAAGTTGATTGCATAGCATTCATATGAAAAGGCAATGTCGTTGGCAATTGAGCTAGCAGTGAATTTACCTACTTACTTGCCAATATATAGGTTCTTTTTATTCCAATGAGTTGGTTTACCACGCATTAAGGAGAAAACTGTCTATACAATTTTTGAGTAATTAGAACTTCTAAAGCTGCGTAGCTGCCCCTCACGCAAACCAAAAATCTGGTTTGGCCTATGGTGGGACCATTCGGTGTAAGGAAACAAATGAAAGCCAATCAATACTGTACAACGATTCATACAAGGAAAAGTTAATTCAGATAAGTGAAAATTGACGGTGGTGGGGAAAGTTTAGAGCGATGGCAGACGATAATTTAGGAGAGAACTCGCATCTTTAGTCGGGGGAGTTTGTGAGGGAATTACATGGTAGTGAGCGAATGTCGACGCAGCAAGTGTTTGGTCGCTGACTGGGTGACTGGCGTGATTGAGTCTCAGGAGAGCAGTGGTTCGGTCGTGTGGTTGGCCAGTGTCTGCGTTTGTGGGGTCTAGCGCGTGGCATCGCAGTGTATTAGTGATAGAGGCGTCTTCGTGGCGAAAACTTTCACGCACTGCTGTCGTGACGTGTTCATAATCGGAAATTCTCATGAGTATATCGCGGATCCCGTCTGAGGAGTGCAAAACATGCCCAATACGAAATATGTGCTGAGTGCTTTTGAGGACTGGAGTGATCTGAGCTTCGGTCACACTCAGCATTCCATATATACAGGAAATTCATGAACGTACATTGCTATTTAGATCGTAGTGAGAAAGTTTAAGGAGCAGATTATGGTGAATAGAAGTGAAGAAATATGATGGCTTGTAATTGTTCTTTTTTTTTGTGTTAGAATGAGTAGAGGGTTGAAACGCAGACTGTTTCCCGAGACATTATTGTTGATTCGGAAAATCCTGGCGGCTTTTTAAGACTAGATGTGGCTCAATTTGTCACCAAAGCTCAAGGCAATTAGTTGCCCTTAAATTTTCATAATAGGGATTCTCTATAAGCAACGCAAGTTGAAGGAGTGATAAATAAATAATGTAGCTCAACTTTCACTCGGTAAATTTTGTATCATGAAGATTCATACAAAAGTGGTGAATATAGTTAGTGATATTAGATTGAAAATCACAACTAAAAATTATAAGAATGCAATATTTATACCACCCAAACAATATATGATAACTCATAAAGCTTGAGAACAATCACATTGGAACAACCAATTTTAATTTCAAGTTGACATTCAGTGAACTCAACGCCAATGAAAGACCTCCTCAAGTTTGGCACTTCTGCGCATGGCAACCTACTAGAATGGGTAGAAACGCAGAATATGATACTAAATGAACAAAGGTCAGGATACCAAGTCCACTGAAATCGTTGACCACTGTTAATATTAAGACCGCATCTCAGCGGCCAAGATGTTTGCAACTACTGCAACCTAATAGGCAGGCAGACTAGAAAAGTAACCCTTAGTCAGAGACTCAGAGCCATGAGAAAGCAAGTCATTTTCAAGGATAAGGTTTTGGACCGTGTTTTGATCTGTAAAACGAATTCAACCCCCCCCACCCACCCCCACCCCACCGCCACCCCCACCGCCACAAAAAAAAGAGGTTTACATAATTGGTATCTGCCCTCCAAAGTTTTATGCTTCACTCTGTCAGCACCAGGCGGTGTGGATACAGTCAATATGCGAGCTCCAGCATCCGTCGACCATGGAGGTAATGACAAAAAAAAAACTAATATTCAGAAAAATTGAAATAGCTTACATGAAAACTTTTCCTCATTCATTTCTATTTAAGGGTTATATCCTTGCATTATTAAATCAGTTCAATCCAGCTTAATTGTCTCTATCCAAGTTTCTCAACTCGCTTAACTCCATACTGGGTCCCTTAATTAATAGTACTATTTTCGGTGCCTTGCGAATACGTCATACATAAATTCAATCTTTTACGTTAAAAAAATACTAGTTGGATGGATGGTTAAAGTAGTGGGGTATTTAAAATAGTTAGTGGTCTTACTAGGGATAAGTTATGGAGACAATAGGATGTGGAGTTAAAAATGGTAAGTCTTTTGAGTTTCAAGTTTATCCTTTTCAATGACTATTGAACTAATCGTGTAAATTTTAATGCGGGATATTTGATGGATTTTTTGAATTCATAGACTGCATAAGGTAGAACACCAAGAAGCTTCTCTAAATAATAGTAAATAGTTATCACTTTCTAGCTGGTAAGTCCACCTCCTTGTTCTTCTGCATTTTATTCGTAATAGGTCAATTCTACCTCCTTATGGACTGCACGTCATCTTTTTATCCTATCCCTTAATAAATTTCCAAACATCCCATTATGCTACACTCATTTTATTGGTGATTTCTCATTGCAATCTGTAAAATGTAAGTTAGTGTTATAACTATCCGCATAGAATTTGTTTCTTTCAGTTCATGGGTATTCTAGAATCAAAAATATAAAGTTAAAGCCTCTCTACTCAAACCATCCGATTTAATTCAATCAATAATCTTTCTTAATCTCAAACTCTTCGCTTAGATGCCATGGAAACAAACATTTTCTAATGATTGCTTTTGCCTATCCATTTCTGTAGTAATAATATAAGAGATAATGGCTATAAACGTACCATCGAATAACACTAGCACCAAATATAAGTTGCGTGTAACTATTTAAATAATATAATATATGGAATGGCTGTGGAATTTTGCACAGTGCTAAAAATGAATATTTTTAAGATTTGGTTATATCAACTTTCATAGAGAAATATAAAAGCCAGACCAACATATTTTATAGCAAACTAAGTGAAGAATTTTGCGAATTAATGATGAATTGTAATAACCGAAAGCTTTTATTGTTAAGCATTATTGGTCCAAGCGATACAGTGAGGAGCACTACCGTGGCTAGTGGATGGCTTAAGGTCATTAATGCAGGCAGGATATCCAAAGTACATAACAATTGAATGCAACATTTTATCATCCAAGAACTATCGAAGCAGCTGTGGGTAATTAGGCTCAGCGCACCGCTCTAACCATTCATCATTCTGGATTTCGAGCCTCTGCTTTGCATGCAGGAGTAACATATACTAGAAGATCTGGAGGCATTCCTGGAAAGACAAAAACCAACGAACCAGTCAATCAAAGTTTTATTATCTGATACCATTAATTACAATGTCGTTTGATTAAAGCTGAACTAATCATTAGTTAATATCTATTAAGCACCCAATGGTGGAAAATTGTAATTAAGGAAAGGGACAATACAAGGTTTGCAGGAACAAGTATTTAATTT